CTGGGGCCCGTCGCCGGGCTGAAGGGGGCGAGCCAGAGCAGAGACCCGGGACGCTGGGCTTTTCCTGGGGGAGGGGGTCGGGCACCCCTGTCAGCTTTGGCGCAGCCCAGGGTCGCAGCGCGACGTCGCTTCGCGCCGCCCTGCCGCGCGGTGCAGTCAGGCGCCCGACACAATAGACACAACCAGTAATGTGCAGGCGTCTCGATTGTTACCCCGAAGGGTGCACCACATCTGGCGGTGTGCCAAGACAGAGCAGTGCTTGAGGAATTCTGAGCAAGCTCAAGGATGTACCTCCCCAGAAAAAAATGAATGCGACAAGCAAGTCTCCAGTTGCAGCCGAAGTCTTCGGAGAGTGACATCGGGTCGGTCGAAGGGGGAGGGTAGCCACGGGGGGGTCTGACAGAGGCAGAAGACATGGATAGCCAAGGAGCGGGCATCACGCGCACTCGCCTGGAAGCCTCGTCAAAAGTATGGACGCTCGAAGCACATGGATACACGCATTACTCCCCCCCAGGCCATCCCCATGGGCACCAGAATGATTACCCGCTAGCAACTGGTGGCCATCCACAGGGATTGCCGCTCTCTTACGCTGCCGCCGCGAAGAATCTCGACTGCCCAAGCGCCGACCCGACCCGACTCGTCTTCTCCTCCTCCTCCTCCTCCTCCTCCTCCTCCTCCTCCTTTTCTTCACCCTGCTCATCCTTCTCTTCCCCATCCTCATCTCTCCTCCTCCTGCTGCTCCTCTTCGTCAATCTCTTCGAACCGTCCTTGTCCTCGTCCTTCTGCCCCTTCTCCTTCCCACTTCCTCCTCATCTTCGCCTCTCCCCGAAAGAATCGCCACGCAGACCTATCAAGGGGTACGTTAGGGCCAGGACTTCGAGGCGAACCCTGCCGCAGCGACTGGAACCTCCCCTGAGGCCCAAGATGGGAGAAGAACGCCCGAGCCTTTCGAACCTCGAATGGAAAGAGAAAAAACTGCATCAGCATAAACTTTGGGCGCTCCGCGTGGATTCCTTGGATCTGCGCTGGACCCCCCTCCCTGGCGCGCGGAGCGCGCCAGGGGGCCAGGGGGGCGCAGCGCGGATCCAAGAAATCCGCGCGAGCTCCAAAAAATTACGCTTATGGCGTTTTATCTTCTTGGATCAAAGCTCGATCATCAGCCATCTTCCTCGTCCCTGGCGGCACGAACAAAGATTATGAAAAGACGTGTCCTGGTCCCCGGGGTCTTCTGCCGGAACTACCTTGGCATCCTGATTGTTGTTCTTTTGTTTGACGGTCCCGGGTCCCCAGGCAGGGCCCAGGGATGTCGAACACGGTGAACATACTCGAGGCACGTTTTCTCCAGGGCCCGCCTGCTTCATGGCGCCTCTCTTGCCCCGCCCCGTCTCCCCCCTACCTCGATCAGACGGGGTCGGAAGATCGCGCAGCATCGGCGACTCATCCGCATGGAGAAAATCGGACTCCGCATCGCGCCCCATCGCCGATGCATCCAGCGACACGGCGCGATCCACCGACCCCGTCTGCTTCGACCCAACCTGGGCTGCCTGGATATCCAGGACCCCCTAACCAAATTAACGGGGACTTTGGCAAACCATCACGAAGCACGAAGCAGCACTAATCCTCTCCACGTGGTTTTGGCAATGTCCTGGTCTGCAATGCCTCCAACTCATCCGCTGCCGAAGACTTTCGGTAGCGCTCTGGACGAGCTGATCGCGAACGAATGTCGGCCTCCCGTCGCGAATGCTGGTAACGAGTGAGCCGTCGACGTCGTCGAAACCCTCGTTTGGGACCCCGACGCGCCATATCTCCGTTACCGAAATTCGGCCCATCCGGTTGCGATCAAAATTTGGTGCGACCGATGTTCGTTTCCTAAAACTTCCAGTCGCGGGTGATCTGGGTCGTGGTCTTCTGGGCCCCAGCGGTTGCTAGGAGCAAAGGGGGCTTAGGAGTGGATGCTAAGGTCGGTTCTATCTGGCCTAAACCGGTTAAACATTGGTTGCGAGTGCCCTGGGTGGTTCAGGGTGAGTAGATCACTCAGTTAAGCGGACGGGGCCCACTTAGGCCTGATCGTTAACCCTCCTCACCATTTAGGCGCCTGCACCCCAGGTGGAAGCTAGCCTAGACCAGATATAACCCACCTGGGCATCCACTTCTGACCCCCCTTCTCCCGTGAGCGCCACCCGCGCCGATCTCAACATCAGTGCCCAGCCAGAGGCGGGCCAGAGATGCGCGGGTATAAAGGGGAACAAAAATCCCAGGGGCCCCCATATTTTTTCAAATATGTTCGGGGTCTTCGCACTCCCCCCCGATTCCCAGTAGTTCCCCATCTCTTCCTGGGACACGACGACTCCTTGTGCCTGCGTGCCTCTTTCCCCCTCCCGAAGGTAATTAGGGCGTCGGCCTCCGCTGCCGCCGGGGCCTCCCTGCCGCCGGCGGGCTGTGCCGCTGGCTGGGGTGCGACGGCGGCCTCGGCAGCCGCGGGGCGGAGCCGCGGGGGGGGGCGAGGAGAGGGGGCCTATACCCATCGGTCGAAAGACGTAGGTAGAAACATGAAGTAGGAAGGCGTTGGAAATAGATTGGGTTTCCGCCCGCCTCCTGAGGAGGAGGGAAGAGGGCGAACCAATCGACTCTTGAAGTAGGAAGGCGCTGAAAGCAGATTGGCATCTGGGAATCCAGAAATACCTACTTCCAACGACCGATGGGTATGCCTGCGCCACGGGCGGGGTGCCCAGCGGCCTGCGTTGGGAAGAGAGAGGGGGCCCACGATTCCCAGCCCTGCGACGGAGTGGAGCGGTGCCGGCCACGAGCGGCGAGCACGTCCGCAGCCCCCCCCCCTCTCGCGACCCGACTGGGGCGCGGTCCTGCGGATGCGCGATCGCATGGGTAATGCGGGATGACGCTTAATAAAAAAAGGAGAGAACGATTAAAAACATAGTTCCCTGCCATTTCTGCATAATTTCCTGACTGGAGGAGAACGATGGGAAACAAAACAACATAGTTTTCCAGCCCGCGGCTGGTTTTTCCTAAACGTCATCCCGGACGCCGCCGCGTGAACACGACCCCCGGTCATCTATTAATCGTCATCCTCCATTACGTTCCGCGCGGGGCACGCGCGAAAAGGTTCCATGGCCGCGGGGTCGCGGCCAATGGGCCTGGCCCACGAGGCTCTGGATACGGATAGGATCGTCGCCCGCGAGGCCCTGACCTCCAACCGGCTGAACAAGTTGTGATACGGCGGTCTTTCTCAGTGTTCGGCCTCTGGATCCCTCGCCGGGTTCCAAGGCTGTCCAAAAAGGACTCGGGATGCAAAGCCAGCTCGGGGGATAGGGCGGGGACTTCTGGGGACCCCGACTTGAATAAATCAAAAGGGCTGGACCTAAACGTTGTTTTTCGTATTGTTTTCGCTTGTTTTTCGTTTTGCTCCAAATCTGTTCCTGTACCTCCCTGCCAAAACGAAAAACAAAACACAGCCGAAGTCCAGCAAAACAACGCTTGGGTTCAGCCCTGTAAATCAATACGCAACGTTGTATCACGACGGACTGTGCTTGGCAACGTTCGGCCTCTGGGGACCCTCGCCAGGCCCGGGGACCTCCAGCTAACCGACTCGGGATGAAAAGCCCATCCCAACCAAGTGTCCAGACCTCGGGTGAGCCACACTGTGAAACATAAGAACGGCGGAGGATGTCTAGGTATACGACTGGGACGTGAAGCTGGACGGCATGATCCTCCAATACAGGCAAGACTTCGACGACGTTCGTCAGCATGGCACAGACCCTTCCATCCCACGGCAGTCTTTCGATCACCCGGGCGTCGCCATCCAGAAACCAGCGCTCTTGTCAGACAGATGCATGAATGGAACTTTCCACCGCAAACAGCCCACAACCAACTTGCCCTGAGGAAACGGTTGGCAAGCATCCCCGGATACTAACATTACGTGACCACTGACGGCCCAAGGAGCGTCCTGCACCTCCTCGCGCGTAGCTCGGAAATCGCATCATCCTCCTCCTGCTCCTCCTCCTCCTCCTCCTCCACATCCTCCTCCTTCTCCTCTCTCCTCCCGCCTCCCTTCTCCCTTTGCCGTACTCCCTTCTCCCTCCCTCCCCTCCCCTCCCTCCTCCTCATCCCTCCCTCCCTTCTCCTCCTCCTCCTCCCTCCCTCCTCCCTCCTCTCTCCTTCTTCCTCCTCCTTCTCCTCGTCCTCCTCCTCCTCCTCCTGCCTCCTGCCTCCTGCCTCTTCCTCCTCCTTGTCCTACTCCTCCTTGTCCTCCTCCTCCTCCTTCTTCTCCTCCTTCTCCACGTGCAGAACTACAGCGCGGAATCCCAGAATCGGGCACGCCAACTCCTCCACCGTCCTCTTCCTCCTCCTCCTCCCTCCTCCTCCTCCTCCCTCCTCTTCGTCTCTCCTCCTCCTCCTCCTCCTGCCTCCTCCTCCTCCTCCTCCTCCTTCTGCCTCTTCCCTCTTCCCTTTCTCCTCCCCCCTCCCGCCTCCCTGCGCCTCCTCCCCAAGGTGGACGGTTGGGGCCGTGGCGGCCTTTGACCGCCGGGCAGAGCGGAATGTAAGCCCTGCAGCAACTGGCTTTTGAACTCTACGGTACCTCTCTGGAGGTCTACACGAAGGTACCGCCTAACCCTTTGGGAGGGGACCTACGTCAGGAGGGCCAGAAGCATTGGGGATAAGGGGTCTTTGCCTGCAGATGTGTGAGACCTAGCCCGCCAAGACTTCCGATCCTGAGTGCGAAGACGGAGACCCAAGTGAGGCCACGTCTTCATCGTGTCCCCAGGGTTAGGGGATCTCTTGCTCTCGATGACGCGTGGAACACCAAAGGGGGGCCCCAGAGAGCGCTGTGGGGCACGACGCTTCCTCATGCCGAGCCGATCGGATCCGATCCCCCACCTCTTCCTCCTCCTCCTCCTCCTCATCCTCCTCCTCCTCCTCCTCCTCCTCCTCCTCCTCCTCTGCGCCGGCTTGCAGGGGCCGAGGAGAAGGACGCGTACTGCTGGGGACGAGCTGGTCTTCATGTGTGCAAATTGCCCGCGCGTGCATGCGGATTTTGTGTTCGTAACATACCTCTGTGGGCCAAGCTCGAGGGGAGACATTTGAAGTCGGTTCCGTGGAAGCCTACGTGCGCCCCGGCGCTGTCCGATCTGGGCCTGATTTGGACTCGGTTTGAACATACTTCTGGCCGGCGAGCCCGGGGAGAAGTGAGAAGGGTCGGGCCTTCTGCGAAGGCTCGGGACTCCCGCGGCAAGCCTTCCCCGAAGAAACAGAGAACCTCGCAGAAGGCCGCTGGCCTTCTGAAACGCCCCGCCGCCTTCTGAGACGGCCTTCTCCTTCTCGTTTCCCCCTCTCGCTCGCCGCCGAAGCCTGGGCCTGCCGAACTGCTCCCCGCCACCCAGCCAGACCCCTGACGCCGTGATGTGTTTGAATCGTGGACCCCCGAGGGCCAAGTTTAGGTCGGGCATGTCCTCCTACAGGCGCAGCTTTGCAGGAACAAAAATATGCAGCACAAACCCAAACATGATCAAACATACTGTAAAACATCGTCCCCTGAGCTTCTTACAGTAATTTTGGATATTCCTCCTGTAGAGGGGCACGCCCGACTTAAGGCTAAGTCCCCTTCCCCACGACCTGCTTGTCAGCCCGAGCTGTTCTCGACTGGCGGGGGGTGCATGGCGACCCCGCTCCTCGACTTCGTGTGGCTTCTCCGACGGGACCAAAACTTTGCAGCCCAGCCGAGTGCTTCAAAATTCCGGGCTTCAAAGTTTGAAAGTTTGAAGGTTTGAGAAAGGAAAGTTTGAAAAACACTTTAAAGGAAAGCTTGAAAGTTTGAGAGTTTGAACACATCGCCCCCCAAAGTTTGAAATATTTACTAAAGACACGCGCATACAAAGAATGTAAAATTTGAAAGTTTGAGAGGTGTAGGATAGCCCGGGGCCCATCCTCAACAGGGCACGTCCCCCGAATTCCCCCCGGAGCCCGGGAAGTGGCGTCGAGAAGTCGCCCGCGATTCACGGCCACGGGGCACGGGCACTGGCACCCGGAGGCGGATCACTGTCGACACCTCCCGGGGGCAGGCAGTCCTGCATGACGAGAGTGAGCACCGGCTCACCGATCCCCAGCCCAGAGATGGGGGTAGGGGCTGTTCCCTTCGGGCTTCGAGGCGCCGGTCCCTAGCTGGGGTGGTGGGATGGCGGAGCTGAGATGCCATGGCCTGGTGGGGATGGGGCAGCAGTTCCCTTCGGGCTTCGAGGCGCCTGTCCCCAACTGGGGTGGTGGGATGGTGGAGCTGAGATGCCATGGCCCGGTGGGGATGGGGCCTGGCAAAGGCCCCCGGAGTCCGACAACTGTCAAAAACCTTCCGTCATGACCTTTCCCCGCTGGGCAGCACACCCCTTCCAATTCGGACACGGAGGCGTCCAAGAGGGTGTCGTCCAAAAGGGGAGCCTCGCAACTCACGACCTGAGGCCTGTGCGTGGGCGGCCCGAGGTGGGGGCCAACGGATACGTTGAAAGAAGAGTGGGACATGACATCTGGGAAGATATCATGGCCCCCGCCATGATATCCACCCCGCCTAGTCATCATCCCCCTCCTGGCCACCCCTTCTGTGGCAACTCATGGAGCCTCTCATGCCATCTTGCTGGCCCTTGCGAATCGACGCTAACATACGCGAAGCGACGATCATTGACGCTAATCGACGCTTCGTCGACGTCAGTCGGCGCTGCATCGGCGCCCTCTCATCGATCACCAGGACGCCAGCGCACGCCCATGCGAAGACAAGCTTCCCACGATTTGCCGCCGAACGGCCCCGAGCGGCGCCCCCCACTCCATCAAGCTCCTCCTCCTCCTCCTCCTCCTCCTGCTCCCTTCCCCCATTCGCAGCTCGCACACGCGCAGCGGGGGAGCGGATGCCGAGCGCCCGGCTGGCTTGGCCGAGTCGTCGCGGCCCGCGCTTCTGCGAGCGCTGGAGGGGGGGAGGGGGGGGGGCGGCGGCGGCGAGGGGGAGAGGAAGCATGACGTAGAGGCCTCCCAAATGGGGTCCGAGTAGATGTGGTCGGCGGATCGCGCCGCACCGCCAACGCATCACCAGTGCATCGTCGATGCATCGGTGATGCACCGGCGATGCATCGGCGCCGTCGGCGTGGAGAAACTCTGGCACCACGTCGAGCCGCACCGTCGATGCCTCGGCCATCTGACGTGATCCTTCGACCCCATCTGCTCAGAGGGCCAGGAGAAGGGAGAAGGGCAGGGAAGCCTCCTCCTCCTCCTCCTCCTCCTCCTCCTCCTCCTCCTCCTCCCCCTCCTCCTCCTCCTCCTCCTCCTCCTCCGCCTCCTCCTCCTCCTCTTCCTGGCGTTGCATGTGTTGACCATCGGGCGATGCTGTGACCTGTTCCAGGGCCCCATGGGCCCTCGCGAGTCGACCTGGCCTGCACAGTGCGGCAGGCAGGCGGGGTCCAGGGCCCCGGGTCGAGTCTTCTGGGATGTTGACTTCGGTGGCGACGTCCGATCCCTGCCCCCGCAAGCCATCGCTTCTCCTGAATCGATGTGGGAGACGGGGGAAGGGCCCGGATTTCGCCGCGTGTTCGACGAATTCCGAGCCCTGCCCCCGCCGCTCATCGAATTGCCCGCGAGGCCCACCAGATCCAACGACGCGAACTCCGATGTGAGGTCATTCAACCGGTCACGGCAAGCGTGCCGAGGAGTGTACACCATGGACCCGAGAGTGCGAGATCCCAGGGCGCTGGCCGGGGACCCAGGCAGGGCGGAACGTAGCCGGCCACAAGGTGTGAGTTCGTGGCCCAGCGTGCTGCGCTGCCCTGCGACCCGTGGCGGCGGCTGGATGAGGAGGAGGGGGAGAAGAACCTGCTTGAGTACGGCAGGTTCGTGCGGCGTCGGCGCGCGCAAAGGTTTTTGCCACCGCGTCGATCGTTCGATCTTGAATCGATCGCGGCCCTGATTGTTCAAGGTTGAATCCAGTCGGGTCCAATGGTAGTACCGCGCCCATCGGTGCTTCCGCGTCGCAGAATGCAACCTTCAACGCCTTCGCTGGCGTCGCCAGCGCGTCAACGCCGCACGAACCTGCAGTATACTCTGCGCTCTCTCGGCGCTTATTCTTTTGACACACCTTCTGGCCCCTCGTGTGCCCGCACTGGCAGCAGCCTGCACGTGTGCTCGCGCCTCGCTGAATTGGAACCCTTATTCTTTGAAACCCTCTGGAGAAAACAACAGCCTCGATGCTTATGTACGGCCACCGTCTAAAAAAAGGAGGGGGTAGTCTAGGAGGAGTAACAGGGGATCTGTCGACCCATATCCACATCCAACGGCACGAGCATTCGAGTAAGGGGATCGCCTACATAATTGATTTACCCGAACCTCGCTGTTCGTCGAGTGCGAAAAATGGAGTGGAGGCCAGTCCACGAGAAACCTTTGACAAGAGACCCAACCCCGAGACCCCAGAACGTCCATCGATTTTTGATGCGGGCACGTCACGCCTTCCGTGGCAGAACCACCGACACCCAAGAAACCCAGGGCACACTGGAGGCAAGCAGAGCAGGGTGTTTCTTGGCATGGGCCGTCACTGCACGGGGCCGGGAACAGAAGAGACCGCCCGCGCAGGAGGAGGGAGGATGCGAGGCCCAGAGGTAGACACCACCACCGCCACCACCGCCTCCCTCCTCCCCTCCCTCTCCCAGGAGAGAGGAGAAGAGGCGAGGAAGACGAGGGCGGAGGAGGGAGGGGGGGCATGGAGGTGGAGCTGGCGTCTATCGCTGGGGCCCGCAGGGGAGGACGACGAGACCCTCGAGGCCGGCCGCCCCAGCCTCTTCCCCCGGCGGCTGCCGCTCCGCGCCCCGCGGCGGCTGCCGCTGCGCCGCCTCGCGGGGGGGGGGCAGGGGGGGGCGAACTGTTCCTCCTCCTCCTCCTCCTCCTCCCTCCTCCTCCTCCTCCCTCCTCCTCCTCCTCCTCCTCCTCCTCCTCCTCCTCCTCCTCCTCCTCCTCCTCCTCCTCCTCCTCCTGTCGGTGGCGAGCCGTGGGCGGGGGGGCGCGGGCAGGGAACCGCGGGCGAGAAGAGCACCCCCCTAGCCCTCTGGGAGGGGACTTCGTAGAGAGCTGAAAATCCACCCTCATGATGAGCACCCCGACAAGCGAGGCCGTTTGGTAAACGCACCCGGGGAATGAATCGAACAGGGCAGGGCCGTCTAGTAAATGCCCAGGGCCGTTTCGTAAACGTCAATTGTCAGGGTCGGGGTGGCTTCTCCTCCCTGGACTAAAGTTCGGAGGGCCAAAGATAGTAGGGACAGGGGGTCTTGTCTGCAGATGTGTCAGACCAAACCTCCCAGAAGATGCGAAAACGGGGACCCGAGTGAGGCCACGTCGTCATCGTGTCATTCGGGTTTTGGGGTTCTTTTGTTCTCGATGAGAGAACGGACCTTCCCAGTCAGGGACGCACTGGCCCGGCGGGTCAGTCCAGACACGGGTCAGTCAGGCCTTGAAACATCCTGCAGGATGCTGCACGGTGTTGAAATTCCAGGAATGGTGTTCTGACGCTACAGTCAGGTTGATCCGTGGTGGGAGTCCAGATACTAATGTTTCGGCAAGCTGCAGGCTCTTCAAATGGTTGTCTTCCAACGAAGCATTTCCCTCAGTGTTTATGCCCACATCATTGATGACAATTGTGTTCACACTGGTCCTCCTCCTCCTCGTCCTCGTTCACCTCCTCCTCCTCCTCCTCCTCCTCCTCCTCTGCTCTCCGCACTTCGCCTCCCCCTCAAGGCCCTCCCCCTCCTCCTCCTCCGTCTCCTCCGTCTCCTCCTCCTCCTCCTCCTCCTCCTCCTCTTCCTCCTCTTCCTCCTCCTCCTCCCTCCTCCTCTTCATCCCTCCGTCCCTCCCTCCCTCCCTACCTACCTCCCTCATTCCCTCTCTATCCGTCTCCTCCTTTTCCGCCTTGTCCTCCTCCGCCTCCCCCTCAAGGCTCCAGTTCCTTCTTCTCCTCCTCCTCCTCCTC